GTCGTCTTCGTTGGCGAAGGCGTCCATCAGTTTGAGGACCTCTGGAGTGGATGTCCTTCCGCTCTGAACCAAAGCAAAGACATCGCTCTGAAGACCCAATCGATCCAAAGGCGGAAGAGTTTTGTCGGCAATCGATGGCAACAGAAGTGACAGCAGTTCTGGAGAATAGTTCACTCGATATACTCCGACACAACTCGCGTTCAGTTTTAGCCATTCATTGGTTGAGACGTTCGGCACTTCGATGTCCAGTGTCTTGGAATCCATTAGCACTTCGACGGCTATTTGGTTGGGATCTGAAGCTCTGATCACAGATATAGGGATCAGCCATCGAGTGGTCGACTCATTCGCCGGCAGTTTTCCGTCGGCGCAGAACTTCTCCTGAGTTAGGCTTAAAATCACTGAATCCTTGTCGCGACGGGACGTCACCTTTGGATCAATTGATGGTTTAGTCAATCAATAGACCGCTTATCGGATCCAATACTCACAGATATAACTGGATATCCCTTCTGCAGAGTCCAAGTGCTCATCACATCTCTGACCGGTTTATTACTCGACTCTAAGAGTGCAGTCCAGAGGTCTTCAGTCTTCGCACTCTTATAGCTGTGACGCGAGAGATAGGAATGCATTCCTTTGCGGAACATCTGATCCAAAGAGACATCAATTAGACAATGAATGAGACAAATGGTGGCAAACAATGACTGAAAGCAATACCTCGTCGCCAATATACCGGTGAAGCATTCGTATGATTGCCGACCCTTTACTATACGAGATCTCATCGAATATCTCATTCACTTCTGACGGGTGACCGACCGGTACTTCGATGGGATGGGAGTTGTGGAGACCGTCCAACTCGAGGGCCGATAGGTATGTGTCGGTCGCGTATTGCATCCAAATCTGGTATTCGGGTAACAGATGGTCGACACACAGGTATTCCATGAAAGAGGCGAACCCTTCCTTTAGCCACAGATCTGATCCAAACATCAAATCATAAATCAATTGATAATTCAAACCCAATGATGGCTACTAACGGGTCCACCACTCGATTGTCACTAAATTGCCGAACCATTGATGAGACAACTCGTGCGCCACAACTAAAGCGATGTATTGCTTGCGAACGGCGGATGTATTGAGTGGATCGACAAGAAGTGCGGTCTCTCTATAGGTAACTAACCCCCAGTTCTCCATCGCGCCGATCGCGAAGTCAGCGATGGCTATCATATCCAGTTTGGGTAACGGATAGCGAATCCCGAAGTAGTCGTTGTAATAGTCGATCGCTTTGACGCCCACGAAGAGAGCGAACTCTCCCTGCGATGCCTTCCCTACCGGTGCGTACACTCTAACCCTCACCCCATCAGTGGTCGCACTCTCGACGAAATCAAACTCTCCGACAATGAATGCCAACAAATATGTGGACATCAATGGTGTCGTCGAGTACTTCACGCGCTTAACACGAGGATCTTCTTCGAGGACCTCCTCTGAGACGACATCAGTATTGGAAAGAGTCGTCCGATCGATGGGAACCTCAAGAGTGATGGCAAACGTGGCTCTGATAGCGGGTTCGTCCCAACCCGGGAAGGCTCGTCGAGAAGGTAACTAACCCCCAGTTCTCCATCGCGCCGATCGCGAAGTCAGCGATGGCTATCATATCCAGTTTGGGTAACGGATAGCGAATCCCGAAGTAGTCGTTGTAATAGTCGATCGCTTTGACGCCCACTTCCAGAGCGAACTCTCCCTGCGATGCCTTCCCTATCGGTGCGTACACTCTAACCCTCACCCCATCAGTGGTCGCACTCTCGACGAAATCAAACTCTCCGACAATGAATGCCAACAAATATGTCGACATCAATGGTGTCGTCGAGTACTTCACGCGCTTAACACGAGGATTGTCTTCGAGGACCTCCTCTGAGACGACATCAGTATTGGAAAGAGTCGTCCGATCGATGGGAACCTCAAGAGTGATGGCAAACGTGGCTCTGATAGCGGGTTCGTCCCAACCCGGGAAGGCTCGTCGAGCGCCGGTGGGCTCGAAGTGAGTGACCGCTGCATACCTTTCCTCCTGTCCGTCAGCGCCGGTATATTTTGATCGATAGAAACCTTTGAGTTTGTCGTTCAAAATACCCGCGAATTCAATGCTTAAGACACCGGTTCCAGAGGTCAAGGGTTCACTGAATGTGAAACAAGAGGTTTCCGTTTCATCACTGCTTTGGATCCGCAATGGAGTCAACTCTGGGATCAGTTGTGAACAATTGGTTTAGTCTTAAGATTGTGTTCAGAAAAACAATTAATGATTACTTTTGCCATTTTGTGGCGTAAAAGAGGCGGAAGTGATGTCAATCTCGAGTGAGTTTAAGACAATCTCATTGGTGTCCGAATTGATGCGCACTTCGATGTCTTCGGATCCACTGAACGTCAAACTCGTGAGGTTTGGCCTCAAAGTGATGGAGTAATGGATTGGAGTGACAGTCGATGGCAAGCGTTTGAATGAAGTCATTGTCTTCAGGCTTACGAGTGGACACCGATTAGCAAAATAATAATCTCGAGATATCTTAAGACTTACCACAACTTCGGTGTCTAATGAATGCAATCCAATGACTCATACGATTAGAAAACATATGAAAAATGTCTCAAAAATAACGTAACGATTGTCACATAAATTGGATTTTAATTAATATTTCTTTTATTGTTTTATAACTTATTTGAAGCATTAGTTTAGAGTTTATTTAATATATAATTATATTTTGCATAAAATTATCGCTAAATTCAATGAATTGTGTCTCAAATGCAAGTGTTTTGTGAAACAATTGATTCAAAAATAGTGCCAAAAGTTTGCGAGACTTTTAAACCTCGAAACCAATGAAACGATTGGTTACTGAAAACACGTGCTTTTGGTCTCAGTTTTGGTTTACTTACAGTTGTTTTGAAACGCGTGTTGTGTTGAGTGAACATCACTTTCGCGGACCAAATGGACACGAATTTCGTGGAAGAGTTGCTGCAAAAGGTGTCCGAAGACGAAGAGAAGGCCAATCGCAGCGTCAGAGTTGACAAACAAATCGACTTGACTTTCGACTTAAGACATTTGGTCGCCTTTGACACCAACCCATTGAATGGCANGAAGAGTTGCTGCAAAAGGTGTCCGAAGACGAAGAGAAGGCCAATCGCAGCGTCAGAGTTGACAAACAAATCGACTTGACTTTCGACTTAAGACATTTGGTCGCCTTTGACACCAACCCATTGAATGGCAAAGAGTTGAGGTTTGAATGTGCCGTACATTTGAGGATAATCTCAACGGTATGTCTGTATTGTAGGTCTAATAAAGAGCAATACCTTCAAGACTTGGCCCGAGATAACTGTCAACTCATTATCAACGAGTTGTGGCAATTGGAGACTAAACGAGTGGATGACACAGTTGTGGCGCAACTTCCTCCACATCAGTATCTGTTGCCACGAAGCAAACCCATCCCTAAACCCAAAGCGCCGACCAAATGGGAAACGTATGCCAAACAGAAGGGCATTCAGAAGACGAAGAAAGACAAACTCATTTGGGATGAAGTGAGCGGTGAATGGAAACCACGGTTTGGCTTCAGAGGAATCAATCAGAACAAGGATTGGGTGATCGAAGTGCCCAACAATTCAGGTATTGACTCAAACTATTGATGAGTTGTCTTGTGGTGTGTTTTAGTGTCTAATGTGCTATCATTTGAATTGTCTTCACACAACAGATCCAAACGTGAATTACTTCGAGAAAAGATCGGAAGACAAGAAGGAAAGGATCGCTAAGAATGAGTTCCAACGGCTCCGGAATATCGGTCGCTCACAGAAGTTGAAGATCGCCGGCAACTCCGGAGTAATGCCTCACACGAACCAGTCTCAGGAACAGCTGAAGAGGGCGTCGGTGTTGGCCAAGGACTCGACCGCATCTGTCGGTCGGTTCGCAGAGAAGTTGTCCGAAGAGAAGGCGCCGAAGAATAGCGGCAAACGAAGACAATTTGAGCCCAATTTGGGTGATATGTCTCAAGAAAACGATAAAAATATGAAAATTATTGATAATATTATTAATAAAAAGCCGAAACTAGATATCGATAAAGCGATTGAACCGAAGGTTAAAAAGTAAGTATTTTTTAACAAAATTGAATCACTTTTTGATTTAATTGTTTCTGTATTTCTCAATCTTCAGTCGAATTAGTTCCAAGAGATCTAAACCCGATTTTAGGGGTAAAAGTGGACAGAAATTCGACAAAAAGAGACGAAATCCGACTAACGATAGGAATCAGAATAGGAGTCATAATTCAAAGCAAAATCAATCGAAAGCGCCGCCGAAGAAGTCCAACAAATTCGGCGCAAACGGCAGACCCCGCAAGAAATAGACGGACAGTTGGCTTATGTGACGGTTATATTGTTTTGTATGAATACAATTGAATTGATAATTAAATTAATCGAGTTTTCATTGACACAAAACATGGTTTTAAAACTCATTTTATTGAATTTAATTATTTTCATGATTTGGTTGAATACATAAAAATAAAAATATATTTTATTTCATATCTAATAGTATTTTCAAATGTTGTTAAATATAATTAGAAAAACAATTTTCAAAATTAATACTCAAAAATCTAATCAAATATTTGGTCATAGATTTCAATAAAAATAGTAATCATTTTCAATATAACATTATATATGAGTAACAAATCTTAACACTTTGTTTGCGGGAAATAATCAATTCATTTAACCGTAGATTTAAAACAAAACACTAATAAACAGTCGATTCGCTTATATATCAGTCAATTATATTCACAGGAATTTCGCGATTTTAATGAATCAATAAATTAGTCGACACTTGGATTAGAGAAATATGTGGTCCACTAATGAGAGACAGTATAATATATTACAGACAATGGACTAGAATTTGCATAATTAGTGGCAATGATTGAAATCAGCGAAAGTGATGCCAACAAGTAATCACCGATTGATTAATAGCTCATAATTAACGCACAGATCAGCGAAAGGCACTGCAAAACAAGGCATTCATTCTATGGTAGCATTCGTTACGGACTTTCAGTTTAGTTTGAATTTAGTTTTAAAAACTATTTTATAAAGACTTATAAAGAAAACAGTGTTTGAAATGAATTTAAGACTTTTTAAGACTAAATGTGTGACAACTTTGAGAAGAAAGACTTATCATTGTATTTGGACAACAAATACACGAATCAATCGCTTCAAGACTGCCTTCAAAACTATAGTAAAACTATGATTGACAACAACAACACAATTAACGAGATCTTAAGATCATAGGTGTGTGTCTTCAGAGGCGGCCGCAATCCGGGGCTTATTGGGCGGCAAAGGGCGGCGCGGTTTCGGTTGAATCTGTTGCCCAGTATTTGCGTTAACAGTCGTATTCAGCGCCGATTCACTGACTTCGCCGCCGATTGCGATGGGATTAGACTTGAAATCAATTAGAGGCGAGTCGTCGCCGATTGACTGAAGGCCTGTCGTCTCCTTCTGGAGGGCCGGGGATTGACTTCTTGGAGGTTTCACTGGAATCGTCGTCTGTTTCGCAGCCGATCTTTGCGTTAAATTTGCGTCCATTTTGTACTTAACGTTGTTGTTGTCCTCGACGTCCACATCGGAGTCGTCTGCAAATGTGATGCAATCGTTGGGCAAAGAGTTCTTAGTCTTCAGCGAATCGACGGACGAGTTGTCGTACGACTCGCTGTCGGCGGACGTCAGCACACAGTCGTCCGAATCAATCACTTCAGAGTCAAATGTCTTGGGAATCGACGCGTGGTTTTCGCCACTTTTGGTCACCGAATCGACTGACGACTTGTCTTCGGCTGAGTTGACCGTCGAGTCGTCATTGAGGCACTCAAGCGATCGCTGTTTCGTTTTGCTATCACATGACCTCTGGGGTCGTTCGGGCGGCGGAACAGAAGGTCTCTCGTGAACCGATTGCGGCCTTTCCAGTGAGGGTCGGGAGGGCACAGACGGCGGCGGAACGTTAGGCTTTTCTATCACTTTGTTTCTCAGCTGATAAGCAGCCGAAGAAACCTTTCTATCACTTCTATCGCTTCCAATTTGACGCTCAGAGGGATTGGGCGCCGAATCGGTCGCTCTCTTTGCCGGTCTGTCCAGAGATGCCGTCGAATAAACGACAGCCGAATGGTTAGAATCCGTGCTTTCGGTGAAACTAATCTCATCGGTCGAGTCAACGCTGGCGGCCATCAAATCCTTGTTCACCAAACTCACCATCGCTTCTAACGAATCGGAATTATTTCGCGAATGAGACTTAATGTTGCCGTTAATGGACATCACTCTGTCGGCCGTGTGTTTGACGTATTGGGGAACGGGAGGGGCCGGCGCCGGCTTTTTGGCCGATCGCGGCATGTTTTGATGCTTCGAGTGGTGGTCACTATAACTCTGGTCTCCATTCATCACTCTCTCGCCATTCATCGGAAACGTTACGAAATTTATTTCTAATTAAATGGTTGCAAATTAATACGGGAGTGGACAGGTATTTGACGGGTAGGGCATACCATCCGGGAAAAACCATTCGCTATAGAGGATAAGTGTGTCCACAATGAGACTGTGATGGTTGGCGGCTGTCATGTTTAGGCTATAAAACACAACATTAAAGTTAAATTTATAGCAATGAGGGGACACGGAGTCTATGTGACACTCACTCGAAGGGCTGGCCGTCCTGTTGACCCCATATAAGACTGGGAGAGATGGCGATCGCCAGGTTTTGGGACGACATCTTATTCGAGTCGGAATTATTGGACAATTTGAACAGGAATTTGATTAAATAACGCAAGTTATCAAAGTTGGCTTTAGGCATCTTATTGCACACTTTCCAGAGCGCCTGTAGCCTGGCATCGGGGTCACTGATTCTATAATGAGATGACAACAAATGAAAACTCATGTCTTAAGAAAATGGTGTTTTATCGCATACTTGGCGGCACTGATCCACTCGTTATATAAGCTATACGTAAAGAGCGGTTCTGGCAGTTCTCTGAGATATGACTTGAGAGCGCCGGCAACCGTATGGGTGTCCCTCACGTACTCCTCGAAGTCGACGATTCCGGCGTCGAAAGCGTTCTTGAGTTTGCGAACTTTGGAAGTACTGCCGGGAATGCGAAACAACCCCTCTTCGGACAGACTGTTCAATAGACATCCGACACACGTCTCGATCACTATTGAGATCTCGCGTTTGGTGACCCGTAGGTGTTCCTCGAGGGCCGTCCCAAACACTGGCTTTTGCGAGTTATCGTCTGCGGGTTGGGTCACAAAATATACACACATTTAGAGACATTTAGAGACACTTTGTGGCACAAAACAACTCACTTATGACTCGTTCGATGAGAGGTATATAGATTTGCATTAATTCCCAATTCTTTTTGTGATAATTTGCTTGACTTTTAAAGAAGTCGAGGAATATGTGCGCGAAATCCGATTCTTTGCTTAAAAGTGAGAATATCTCAGCCGTGTATATGTCCTGCAAAAGACAGACAAATCATTAGAGGTGTCGTCCTCTTAGCAATTCATGGATTGCAATGTACTGTACCCTCGTTTGGTCCACTTTGGAGGCCGAGTCCTCCAACTCTTTGCGCAGAGTCTCGGCCTTCTGTGCGGATGCAATGGTAGAGCCGCCGGCCGTCTGTTGCGACAGTTTCAGTGCCGTCTGGTATTTGATACGATAGGCGTCCATATCTGTCGTGGCTTTTGTCAAATGCTTTTTCGCTTTGTTAACCACCGGTATCTCCACTTCTGTGGCTTTGGTTAACGCGTTCAGACATTGTCTCTCGACATCCATCTCATAGCTTAACAACTCTTTTGCCGACAAATTCTGCAATTTTGAGCACTCGCTGAGTGTTAATCTGCAGTAAAAACACACAAACTCTGTAATTATGCGCTTATTTTACGATTCATTGCATTTAGAAAAAGTTTTAAAAGTTTTTTTGTTTACAATCTATTCGTTCCGATAATTAATTGCATTACAAAAAATTCTCAATAATTTTCTCTATAAATAAACACTCATTAAAATTATGCAAAGTTTTTGTTTATTTCAAGCCCTAAACTCCTGTATTGAGTAAAATCGATGATTCAGTCATCAGATGAGTGAAAACATTTGCAATCAATTAATTAAATTCAAGGATATATTTCTCTCATTATTAACAGGAATTCGAGGATATGTTTGTTTGCTGTGAATATTCATCGACAGCTAAAACTCATAAAAATGTTTAACTTTTTCAAACATTGAATGCATTTTCCCTATTCATAAAAACTTATACAAACAATGAATAGCTTTTTTTATTCTGTAAAACATATTTTATAAACATATTATAAAACTTTGTGTATTTATGATACCTATCAGGGCTTTATCTAAAAAACATTAGAAAATCGTTTCCATTGTTTTGATATAATTCTCTACAAAAACAGTAAAATTCATAATAAAAATCGCTATAAAAGGAAAGGCATANAAACTTTGTGTATTTATGATACCTATCAGGGCTTTATCTAAAAAACATTAGAAAATCGTTTCCATTGTTTTGATATAATTCTCTACAAAAACAGTAAAATTCATAATAAAAATCGCTATAAAAGGAAAGGCATAGAGCGCTGGGACTGTAATTACTGAGTGAATGCATGCAAAGACCAGCCCTTCCAACCCTTAAACCCAACAACAACAAAAACTAATCGTCTCATAGACAACATCTGAGATGGGGAAGGGATGCGATTACTAACCCGAGCACAGAGTCAGTGCCCAACTGGTCGGCCAGTTCGGTGAAGCACTGGTAGAGTTGCATTTGAGGCATCTTTTTAAGGCGCTTCTCGGCGGACAGGGAGTCCACTCCGGCGGCCGTTTGCAGACACGCCGTCATCTTCTTGTCGGTGTTATAACACGTCTGTCTGATTATGTCTACTCTTTTCTCGGCATTTATTAAGTCTTCAGTCAATACTTCGCTTTTGTCTCCTCTATAATAGACGAGAGAAAAAAATTATCATTTCTTTTGTCATTTGCAACACAACTATAATTAAAGTCCACAATCTGTTCATTCAATTCAGAGGATTGTCTTTTCATAAAGTTTTTTCAGTTAACAATAGAAAGGAAAAGGAAATTCGTATTAAAATTTGTTGAAAAACTTTTTTGTCAATTAATTACTTGTGAAATATGATCGCAGAGAGAATAGCGAGAGACACACAAAATGACAACTCATTCATCAATGTCTTGAATCAAAGTCTAGAAATGGTTTTTTAATTAGCAATTCATATGATAAACATATTTAGCATTTGGATCAATATGCATTATAAACCATTAATATTTATTTGTGTCTAAAATTCAATTTATATTTGTGTAAAATCTATACAAATAATGCAAATAATAATTTTGGTAATGATTTTTCATAATACGAGTGCATATCATCTGTTATGTAATGTCAGACAAAATCTAATTCATTAAAATATCGCTACATTTATGCCATTGTATTGGATGTGAAGTATTATACATTTCGCCGGAAATCATATTTTAAACGCTTTTTTGCTATCAATAGGAAACTAATTGATCGCATCATCGGTGGTGCGGATCCACTGGAGTTCCCAGAGTTGAACAGCTCTTCTTCTCGAGTGAGACAACAAACTCTTGCCTCAAAACTCGCTAAATAATTATCAATCAATCAATGCATATATGACTGAAAAATGTTTTTATGAAAAATCAATACTTCATGAGTTAGGGAAAAACGCATAGTCTGTATGAAAATGAGTTCAATTGTCGCCTAAATTAAGGCCAAAACTATTGACAAGTTTTGCATTGGTTTTGAATTATCGATAAAAAAGTGAAAAATAAAAAATAACTTCAAATACAAAGCAAATAGTAATCCAAAACAACAATTGAATCACTTTTGTTGGTATTTGAATATAATCTCGAAAAATGTATATAAAAAACAAAAAAGTATTATTCAATCGATTGAATACCAGAGATATTGATCATAAAAACTATGCCTAATATGTGCGAAACGATTGATTGGTTTGAATTGGTTTTTGCAAAATTGACACCAAATATGAGCCATAGATTGCAATCTCCATCCGAAGATCACATTTCAGATCCAATCAAATGAAAAGCATTTTTATTATGTTATGATTGAAAGCAAACTGATTCAAAGCCTGACATTACATGGGATTTCGACACCAAAAAAGTTTTCAAAACTAATTGTGAAAAAATTGTATTAAAAACAAAATTCTTGTGAAAATTTGTTATCTGAAATGAAAAAAAGTTTTTCAAACTCTGTTTTATATATTCATTAAATAACTGATTAAATATTTACTTTAATTAATAATAAACTAATTATTTGTTGTTATGATTAATAGCCTAAAAATTATCTAAAATTAGATACATGAAATTGTGTTATGACTTATCAATCGCTTTATATAATACTTATAATCAGTTTTAATTATTTCAATGCATTTCAGCACCAAATCATACAATCGTTTTAATTGAAACTGAAAATAAAAATTTGTAAACAAAAAGCAGTTTAAACACAAATAAAAACTTACATTTAAGACACAAAACAAATACTAATAATAATAAGTAAAATTTGAAACGAGACCCAAATATAACTAATAAATGGTAAGAAAAATCACTTGAAAACAAATGTCTAAACTTTAAAGTGCTATCATATGAGCGCATAATGGTGTGAATGATGGTGTAGTGATGGCCTACCTTAAGATGTTGATGTGAACAAGGTCCTTTATATTGCGGTAGTGTTTCTTCATGATTGGTGTCCACCGCTGTATCCTATCGTACGGTTAGAGTTGTGTTGTATTCAAATGAATGGCAAACGAGTGTCCATTAGATGCAAACCATAGCCTAAACGCGAGTCTCAATCACTTCACTACTAAATGCATAGACAGTAAGAGTCAGACATATTGTCAAACAAAGTATTGCACCCATAGTTCCCATACACACAGTGTTATGACGTAAGGCCTGTGTCATCACCACTACCTACCAGTGCCTATCATACCAGTGCCTATCATATGAGTGAGTCGAGTGCCTCCCAGTCCCCTATCATTCAATGCTCACATTCACTCGCTATACGACTATTGCATTGCATTTGGTTTTACTTTTTAGAGAAAAAAGTTTTACTTTATTTCAAAAGTTTTTTGGAATTAATTTTGATTTAGTTTTCGATAATATTTTTTGATGTCATTACCGAAAGTATATTTTGAAATATGATTTGAACTCAAGTTTTATAAAGTTTTGTGTAAAAAAAGTTTCACAAACTTTGTCAGTCATATAATAATAAACTTAAAATAGACTAAATTAAAAGCTCCGACTAATATTAATAGTATGATTGCTTATTATCAAAACTTTATTACATTTTTATTATATTTTGTTTAATGTATATAAACATAGGCTTAATTGAATGCAATTCTGTTCTCAATTACAACAATTATTAAGGTCTTAAGGCATTAACATTGTGTGCATTCAAAGATAGACTAAAGTCGTAAAATAGACTCACTTTATGGCAAACTTCACATTCAGATCAACTCATAAACGAGTTTATTATAATCATAATTAACTCATTATTGTTTATTATTTTAATGCTAAAATTAATTCCGACCTAACATTATGAAAAACTGTCTCAAAATATGTTGTCTCAAAAAATTGCTAAAATATTTACATTTTCTAGTGTTTCTAAAGCAAACAATAAAATTTAATTTGGACCAACTCTTGAGTGTCTATTATTGTATAATAATGATACCATCGACGGTAACATATACTATAACCGAAGACATTGCGCTTATATACGGTGTACGCCATCACCAGAACATTGACTTGAAAAATATTCAAATAAGTTATTTATACAAATTTAATCAATATTATTGGTATTAATAATAAGTTTTCTTTTTTGGCTGACATTCATGTGTGAACTTGTGATCAGATGTCCGATAACTGAATCAAACTTCACACAAACCATCGCCAAACCAATTAGAAGAACTCATTTGCTTGAGATTTGAGACATTTCTTAACCCAATTAACAGCAATTACTGTCACTCATAGATATAATCCAGTTCTCCACTAATTAACACATTATTCATATTCATGTCTTAAGGGATGAATTGATAGCAAGTAATCAGAACTCATGAGAAACCCATTCAAACGCCAAATATACCCCAAAAGTGTGGAAAATGTATTGTCAACTGTACTCAACAATAGGACTGTCATCGAAAAACAGATTAAATAAAAAACAAATGAATTTCTAAAACAATTTTCAGTTTTTATTCAGTGATTTAAAACAACATTAACTTTGGTTCATAATTTGTTCGCATTCTTTGGGGAAAATTCAAACCGTTTTGTATAATTAAATGGAAATTAACAGAAAGTATGATAAAAAAATTGGGAAAACCTTTTGACAAAAAAATCCTAAATATATTTATATATAAATTTCATAACATTTGGTCATTCAAGTGGAATGTCTTATCACTAGATTTACAAATACATAGAAAACCACAGAAAAGTTTTGAACAAAAATACATGCAATTAAAGAGTTACTAAAATGAATGATGAATTATTAGGAATATAATGGAGGGGAAAGGGAGGGGACAGGCGTTTAGAAACATTTTCGGTGGACAATGGATGGGCCGGACTCGTCGTACTCTTGCTTAGAGATCCACATCTGTTGGAAAGTGGACAGAGAGGCCAAAATCGAGCCACCGATCCATACGGAGTACTTGCGCTCCGGGGGCGCAATGATCTTGATCTTCATGGTAGAGGGCGCCAGAGCGGTGATCTCCTTCTGCATGCGATCGGCAATACCAGGGTACATTGTGGTGCCACCAGACAGCACAGTGTTGGCGTACAGGTCCTTACGGATGTCCACATCACACTTCATGATCGAGTTATAGGTGGTCTCATGGATACCACACGACTCCATACCCAAGAACGAGGGCTGGAAGAGGGCCTCCGGGCACCGGAACCTCTCGTTTCCGATTGTGATCACCTGTCCGTCGGGCAACTCATATGACTTCTCGAGGGACGAGGAGGAGGCAGCGGTCGCCATCTCCTGCTCGAAGTCGAGCGCAACGTAACAGAGCTTCTCCTTAATATCTCTCACGATCTCTCTCTCGGCGGTTGTCGTGAAACTATAGCCCCTTTCGGTCAGGATTTTCATGAGATAGTCGGTTAAGTCACGTCCCGCCAGATCCAGACGCAGGATAGCGTGCGGCAGTGCGTAGCCCTCATAGATGGGAACGGTATGCGACACACCGTCTCCACTGTCCAACACAATACCGGTCGTACGTCCGGACGCGTATAGCGATAGGACGGCCTGAATGGCCACATACATGGCGGGGGTGTTGAAGGTCTCGAACATGATTTGAGTCATCTTCTCGCGATTGGCCTTTGGGTTGAGGGGCGCCTCCGTCAGCAGCACCGGGTGTTCCTCAGGAGCCACTCGGAGCTCGTTGTAGAAGGTGTGGTGCCATATCTTCTCCATGTCGTCCCAATTGGTGACAATCCCGTGCTCTATGGGGTACTTGAGGGTCAGGATCCCCCTCTTGGACTGCGCCTCATCGCCGACGTACGAGTCCTTCTGACCCATGCCTACCATCACTCCTTGATGTCGGGGTCGGCCCACAATCGATGGGAAGACGGCGCGGGGGGCGTCGTCACCGGCGAACCCGGCCTTACACATCCCGGAGCCGTTGTCTATCACTAGAGCCGCTACTTCGTCGTCGCACATGTTGTTTGGGTTGGAGTTTGGGTTGGCTTTCAAACTGTGGTTCAGATTTGGGACAAAGAGTTAGTTTTAGTGATCCGTTTGATTGAGGTTTTGGTGGCGAAAAGCCGTTTGCATTAAACGCATCAATAATATGCTATTAACTAAAGACTCGCTTATAGTTTAGTCTCTAATCAAGTATTTCATTTCATATGAATCGAGGGGTGTATCGGCAAATGTATCAAGCACACTATATGGCACAATGTGCCCTGGTCAGTGCTCACACAATAGCCGTTGCACTACACGCCCCTTCACTATAAGCGAGCTTTCAATATATTTATGAAACGCTAAACTAATAGCAATTAAATGTAATGAAAATACTTACGATTCAAATGAAATGAATTGAGAGCTGAGTCTGAATTGCAATAAATAATTGAATGTTTGAATGGATTGTGTGAATGAATGTCACAATTGAAGTGTAGATCAGACACTGAATTGCGAACAAATTTATAAGTCTAACGTCGAGTCTCTTATCAAATGTGTCATTACGTCGAGACATCAATGACGGCCAACGGGTGGCAATGGCTTTGCATTGGCTTTGCATAGATGTGTAAGTCATGGGGGCAGGGATTGGGCGTACGGGTGGACACGTAGTTAAGGCCCAATGCGTGATCCCTGTGCCAGTATTGGTGGATAGGGGGCCGGCATAGAGTGCGTATGACGTCAGACACGTTCAAACTGTATGCCCTAATATGGTATTGAAATATGCGAACTGAAAACTTCCCGTTTTGGGGATTATATGATTGCATTGCTGTCATCCCATTCCAGTGCATACCATACCATACCTATCGCTACTAAACCATTCATTTCCATATAACCGATGAATGTATTGTATGTTTCCTGTCAATAGTTTTCATACTTTTCTAATGCCATCGCAAATGCATTGAATTCTTGTCGCGATTTTCGGATACACTTTACGCTATCATATGATTAGTGATTAGTTGAAGAAGTTTCGTAAAACTTTTATAACTTTTATGCGATCTCTCTCTCTCTCTCGTCTTATATAGCAGTTGATAGGAAAAGTTAGCGACAAATCTAATT